CTTCCAAGCATATATAAATATTTAAGGATAAAAGACTCAAATTGCTTTTAAAATTTTCACAAGTCCTTTTCCTCGAGTCCAGTCAAGTCTGGAGTAATTTCAGGTCGAGTCTGAGTCAAGTCTGAAGTCTATAAAAATGCGACTCGAGTCCAAGTCACTAACTCGAGTGCCCCCTAGAACTTTAAAGTTTGTAACATTTAATGGGGGCTCATCCGGGATAATATTTCCTGTGATATTAAATATTGCTGGAGTGGGGAGTAGAATGACCACGGTTTTATTAATTTGCTTGTAGTATATTTTTCGGGGCGTGTCTAGTTGACTGGGTGGTTAATGTTTGTTTCGGCATAATTATGGCTGATTTTGATTTAGAGAATTTCGTTAAGGCGCCGTCTGGTGAGCAGCTTAATAAATGTAGAAAATATGATTTGCTCTGTATCGCTGCTCATTATAAAATTACAGTTACGAAGCATCAGCTTAAGAGAGATATAAAGTGTACTGTCTTACAAAAGTTGGTGGAACTGGGTGTTTTGGTGATGCCTGCAGAGGAGGATTCTCTTGGCTCCGATGTTCACCCATCTGTGTCTGGTGATGAGGAGCAGGGTGGAACTGTTGAGGTGGAGGACTCTGAAACAAAGCTGTTCTGCTGCCCTTTGAGCCTTTTTCTTCGGCCTGTGTTGGGTCTGGAGGTGATGCCAAGCTTAAGCCTATCATTCATGCCCCCTCCCTTCCCACCCCTTCTCCTGTCCTCCTGTTCTTGTCAAAATTAAGTACTTGAATGTATTCATAACACCATTAAAATTAAAATCAGATGACAAGTGAAAAAGTTTTTAACCTAAGTTGAATGTAGAATGCAATTTTGAGATGGCACACTATATATTGATAATGAATGACTGAACTGATTCAATTATTATTTCTTGCACAATCCCTGACTTCACATCTCAAGACAAAAATATCAATAAATTAAAATTGTCAGGAACACAAAAGCTCTTCAATTACAGATTCACCTCAGGATGAGCAATTATGAATGACACGTCAGAGGAAGAACCATATTAAATCAAAGATGGCACTTTATCAAAGCTAATTGACAAAAATTGAAAACTTTTGAAAAACCTAATGAAACCGATGCTTTAGTGCAGGGGTCACCAAACTTGATCCTGGAGGGCCGGTGTCCTGCAGAATTTAGCTCCAGCTTGGCTCAACACACCTGCCTGGAATTTTCAAGTATACCTAGTAAGACCTTGATTAGCTGCTTCAGGTGTGTTTGATTAGGGTTGGAGCTAAACTCTGCAGGACACCGGCCCTCCAGGACTGAGCCTGGTGACCCCTGCTTTAGTGGATCATCTTACAAGTGTATCAACTAAACATTTTTGGACTGAATGGAAACACTCACTTCACTGATTTTGGTCCATCAACATGTCACATTTCATTCATTTCCATCAGTCATTTACTTAGCCTTTTTCCAAGAAAAAATGGCATCCATATTATTTACATAGGCAAAAGAATTGTATGCCTAGTCAAACGAACTTCAAAAAGTTCATGAGGGGCAAGAAAAATACAATAAGTAGACATTTGTAGAAATAAGCAAGTACGATTTGTGGCAGATTAATGTAGGGGCAGCTTGAAAATGAAAAAAATGTAAAACACATGATGACAACATAGTAGTAGTTTTTAAAGCCCAAGACGCCGGTACGGACACAGTCATAGTGTGCTTCCTCACATGCGTGTGCTCTTCTGAGTAAGCAATTTGGGAACATTTACATTTACATTTACATTCGTGGATTTTGGAACATGCTTTCTATACAAACAACTTGAAAACTCACTGTGAATAAGAAAAACAAGTGACATTTTAGAAAGTGAACAGAGCAGTAGATGCAGATGTATATGTTTTAAAGTGGCAAAGATAAAATACATTGCTATATGAACTCCTAATGCTAATATTCACATTTAAAGAGTTTTTTTTAATAGCCTTGTGTCATCTGGAAACAGATCTTCCCTTCATGATGGACCAGAAGCAGTTTTGACAGGCAGCCTTCATGCAAAAGTCTTGTGATCTTGTGAAGTCTGTAATATGGGAAAGAAACACATTTAAAAGTGGCAGGTGCAAAACTCACAAAATGGAAACAACGAAGTATGACCCATAAAGACTGGGAAAACAGTCATACTGTACAAACCACTTCTGTGGTACCGTTATGATTTTTTAAATTATTTATTTATTTATTGTTTGGAGCTGGACAGCTTTGGTCCTCATTCACTTCAAAAAATCATCCTTGGCCTTTCACTGAAAGAAAGTCATACAGGTTAGAACGACATGGAATAATGACAGAATTTAAGTAAAAATGTGATGTACTGAATTTGAAAACAAAAGTGAATAGAAACCTTAATGAAGTTCAGGAAGATTGTCGCTCAGTTTTCTCTCAGAAGAGGTGATAAAAGCCAACTGACAAACCGATCCAGTTTGGTGGGTAGCAACTGATTAAATGTAATCTGGATTACGCAGTGAGATTACAAAAATTGGAGTACTTATAATTATAGTATATTACATTTAAACATTTTCATAATCAGATTACAGTTACTTTTTTATGGATTACATATTATATACACAATGGCAGTAGATTATTAATAATTTCTTGTGTTGTTCTTTTTTTCAGTGACGTTTTCATTGTTAGTCTTTTGTGCATTAATGAACATAATATGTATCAAAGTTTTAAGTGAGCTTGAAGGATTTATAGTCAAAAAAATATAGGAGGTTGTTAACGCAAATCTTCTCAGTAACACTCTATAACTGGAAGTCCTATTAATCATTTCTTGATTCTCCTTTTTTTTTTTTTTTTTTTACTTTCTAAAAATCCTACTGTGTCATATCATTTAACTTTTACAATATTCACAAACTTTGTGTAAATAAATTTGTAAACCATGCTTCTGAATTTGATGGAAAATGGCACCTCTCAAGCAATTAGACCTGAGTAAAACAAATAATTATGCAAGTTACTAAACACTGGTGATGTATAGCTGTGAAACACTGTCATCATCATATCCAGAGTGAACTTCATTAACTGTTGATTCTGGAAGTCAAAAATATTTCAAACCTGGAAGACTTTGTCGTGTAATGTCATTTCTGTTTTTATGTTTATTAAAGGGGTCATATGATGCGATTTCAAGTTTTCCTTTCTCTTTGGAGTGTTACAAGCTGTTCGTGAATAAATAAGATCCCAAAAGTTGCAAAGACTAAAGTTTCAAATCCAAAGAGATATTCTTTATAAAAGTTAAGACTCGTCCATGCCCTCCTAAAACGCCTCGTTCAAACACGGCCCCACATGTCTACGTCATGATGTGGGAAGATTTGCATAACACCGGCCAAATGTTCACGCAAAGAAAGAAGGCGTAACTTTTATTCTCGCTGTAGCATTGTTGCCACCGCCATGTCGTGAAGACGCTGTGTGTTTCGTTGTGAAAGCGAAACTACTTTGTTTGGTCTTCCAAAAGAGGACACAACTAGAAATCAGTGGTTAAGTTGTATTTACAACACTGTTCCAGAACACTTCAACCCAAATATTCAGATGTGTGCAACGCATTTTACGGAGGACGAGGACTGTTTCCTGGGAGAGTAGCCTACAATGCCGGTGTTCCGGTGAATTCAGTTCTCCTGTTTCCCCTTCAGCGCGCATGCTGACCCTATACAGTCTATGATGCTGACAAATAATGCTGACTCACAGCCTGTCAGTACATTTTCATATTTAAAGGATTTGCCACTGATGATTCAAGCGCGAGTTTTGAGCAGTCTAGAGTAGGGCTTGTTGTTTGTCATTTCTCCGATCACAAATGCAGACATGGTTTTATGTTTACAAGGCGCGATGCAACACGACGCATAAAAAGACAGTATAAGTCATTATAATCAGTAATTATGTCCCCACTGGATGCAACAAATGCCTCGTTTATAATGGGTTTTAATGTTTTTGTCTCGTCGCTCCGGCCGGACACGGCATCACAGTATGGTGAGGGGTGTAACATTTCCGTCACACGCTTGAGGTATTCGGCCAATCACAACGCATTGGATAGCTGGCCAATCAGAGCATACCTCGCTTTTTCAGATCGATGAGCTTTGTAAAAATTGACGCGTTTCAAAAAGGCGGGGCATAGAGGAGAAACAATAATGTACAGTATGTGGAAAAGAATGTGTTTTTTGAACCTTAATCCACATAAACACATTGCATTACACCAAATACTCAAAATAATGTTCTTTTTAGCAACATCATATGACCCCTTTAATGTTTGTTCATATAACGCAGGGATTTCAAAATATTTATAATTTTAGTGTTCGCGTTTATTTAATTTAATTTAATTTTTTTTAATGATATATTACCTTTTTTTATCAACTCACTAAAGCATTTTATCATGTTGATATAAACAATTGAACAGTTTCTTTCTCATTGCTTTTTTTATATCAATATGGTACGTTTAATGGTAAGTTTAAAAGAAGTCTGATAAAAAGTAATTTAAAAGTAATCTAAAAAGCAGTCAGATTGCATTATCTAAAATGAGTAACCTAGATTATGTTACCAACTAGTTTTCATCGTGTAATCTGTAATCAGTAACGGGCTACATACACAGATTTCTTTACAGGTATCCATTGATTTTTACACCTTGTATTTAATGTAAGCGTGCCAACATGACATTAATGCCTTGGCTAGCTTTAGAAAAAAAGCGTCCATCAAAGAGATAAGCAATGACATTTTGATATCATTAATCACTGAAAAGTCATTATTTTCAGTGAAATTGTGTTCACTTGTTTTGTTGCTAAAATATGGTTTTAGATGGATGGGTGTTCTGTTCTTTTATGTATGTGTGTAAACCTTTTTTTCAGCTCCAGTCAGAGAGAAAAGTGGGAGGAGAGACAAGATCATGTGACTCTGATGTAAAGTTAAACTAATGTGTTTCTCTCAGGAACAAGATTCATTCAAACTTACTCAAATGAAAGCAGAAAGAATCACGGACCGCTTGAAATGAACATTAGAGTTTTCTACAAGAGTCTGTCGTTTTTACTGGGTAAGTAAAACACAATCTGTTTAATATCTTAGTGACCTACAGTCTGCTTTCAGCTTCATCTTTCAGACAGAGAAACACTTAACAGAAGACACTAAAGCATAACTGGGTAACACTTTACAATAACCTTCCTTTAACCTTAGTTAATCCGTTAACTAGCTAACAATAACTAAGAATGAGCAACAGATTTGTTACAGTCTTTATAAATAATTGTTCATGTTAGATAATAAAAATACACCATTTATTGTTAGTTCATGTTAGCTCAGGTTAATTAAATAATATTAAAATGTACAAGTTTTGATTTAAAACATGTTCAGTATAGATGAAAAATTGTTGAAATGAACATGAATTATTATTAATTAATGCTTCAGAATTGTTTTTTACATTGTTAGTTTGTTGACTAATGTAGTTAACATGAACTAACAAGGTTAACAAATGAAATTTATTGTAAAGCATTACCCATAATTGAATGTGTTGTTCTTGGTTAATGTTAACTAAACACCCTCAAACAATATTGTGTGTGTTTTTCTTAACTGTAAATCTAGCAAAATGTAGGTTTACACTTATTAAAAAAATACATTTAAGCCATTAAATACTAAGCATCATTCTGTGTTTTTCATTTCAAGGGTTTTTCTCCGTTCAAACAAAGGCAGGAATAGAAGGTAAAGATTAAAATTCTTAAATTTCCTCAATAAACTATCACATATTTTGTTAGTGAGTTTGTGATGCTGTGAAACATTTTCGGGGCTCTACAATATACATATTTCAGACACATGATAAAAAAAAAGAACTTAATCAATGCAAAGGAAATTTAAAAACCAGTGCATTTAAAGTTTAAAATAAAGTAGGCTCAGAAAAATTCAGTCATTACAAATCACTCAACCTAACAATTTGACATCTATACTGAACAAAGCAGAAGGACAACTTATAATATACAACAAGTATAATTGATGCCACTTACAACTTACAATGAGTATTCCTGAAACACTTCCCTTCATGATGGACCAGAGGCATGACGGTGTTTGTGTGATTTTAGGTAGTTTTGACAGGCAGCCTTCATGCATAGAACAAAATGCAAAAGTCTTGTGATCTTGTGAAGTCTGTAAGATGGGAAACAAAACATTTAAAAGTGACAGATGCAAAACTCACATTGAAATCATAGTGGCACCAACTTTTGAACACTTTTTACAATACTCATAATTTCAAAGCAGCTTCACAGAAACCAGTGCTTGAAGTGGGCCGGTACGCACCGGTACGCAGTACCGGCACTTCTGTATTTTAGTCTTTAGCGTGCTGGCACTTTTTCGTGCGTACTGGCACTTCTGACATGTTGCTGGTACTAAGAGTCAAAGCGTCAGTGTCTGGTGTATATAAATCACACTAACAGGAGGGGTCACCTCTCATCTCGACAAATCGCATGAATGAATGCAAGTCGGTCTACTGCAGGGGTTGTCGCTTTTCCACAGCCTGGCCAGTGTGAGCCAGGGCTAACAACGAGCCGGGCAGGACCAATGCTGCGCTTCCACTGTCGGAGCAGCGCTACTCTGAAAGCCCGCCATTAACAAACAGCATCATTTCACCAGCGAGGGGGTAAATAAATGAAAACTATCACAAAACTAACTTGACAAAAGCGGACGTTTTGTCCTTATAAAGATTTAAAAAGTCTCCAGCATCTATATTTTACCAATGATTTACAATTTAAAAAGTTACAGTGTCAGTAATTTATTACTTTGTGTCAGAAGTGTGCATCAGTGATGCTAAATCCAACTAATATGCTTAATTATTTTACATAAAATGAGAAAACACTTGTTCAGTCACGGATGCTCCATTTATTTGTAATCACAAAAATGCATAAAACAAGTCCATTTAAGTCCAAAGACATACAAGAATAACACAATAGAAAAACATCGATAAACCCATGTTTGCGTCAACTTCTTCAGAAAGTTTCAAAAAAAAATTTTTCAAAGAAATAATATAATGTGAGGATGTTTGGGCGCTGTCCTGTTACACTATAGGCTGCTGTTATCATTTCAGCCAAATTGTGTGAGGTGCAAGAGCATGTCAGGAGAAGTAGAATAATAATTCATTACTAATTTGAATCAGTACTCTATAATGAAAACAAAATTTAAAAAAATGAAAAGAAGCAGGTTTTTGTGATCATTAGGGGAAACCGATAAACTCCTGGAAAGTCCAAGGATCCAATAAGCAAATTCAAATAGTTGGACAAAACAGCACTAATGCAGTGAAAAACACGACCAATTTCATCAGAGATTGTGGAGAGAATAGTGAATCACGTGCAGATGTCAGTAAATTATTATTTTCATTGTGTATTTGGATTAAAAGCAAGAAAGTTTTATAATGGACGCTGGCTGACTGAGGTGTTATGCGATGGTAAGACGTTTAGCGATTCTGAATGTATCCAGTGGAGGTTTAGTGGTCTTTGGCGTCTCCCTGTGGTCCTGTTTGGTATCACAGCTTGACTTCTGGTTATTTGTATTGAAAACGTTTGTTTAATTACTTATTGATTGTGGCACTATACATAGCCTACGTTGTGAATTATGAAAATTAAAAAGTAGTTATTTAACATAAAAAACATAAATAAATAAATAAATAGGGGGGGGGAGTACCGGCACTTATTTTTTTCCACTTCAAGTACTGACAGAAACCCATCATTTCCAGTCAGAATAGAAATAAATAAATGTAATGGTAAAAAAGGTTTTCCACTAAACATATTCCAGTGAACGTAGCAGCATGGGGAACAGCCGTTCATTCTTCAGATTCTTCCAACTGGTATGCCCCAAACGCTCTGGATGGGTTGAGCTACACCTGTACTCATACTACGACACAAACTGACCCGTGGTGGAAGCTGGATCTGATGAAGACGTATGGTGTGAACAGAGTGAGCATCACTAACAGAGCCGAATGCTGTGAAAGCAGGATAGATGGGGCAGAGATTCGGATTGGAAACAACTCTTCAGATCTTCTCAGCAACCCAGTGTGAGTATCTCTGATATATTCTTATATAAAGAGATTCTGGCTTGTTGGTCAGTAATTTGGTCTTTTTCTTATATTCACTATATTCACTAATTTCACTAATTTCAGGTGCTTAGACTATATTAAGATTGGTCTTAATATAATTAATTAAGTCCACAAAATAAAATCAAAAATAGGCCTATACAGAAAGCAGCAACAGTTCACTGGAATTGCCTGGAATTCAGAATTCTGAAATCGAAATCCTCACTAAACACCACAATACATTTTCATATAAATAATCCAAAACTTTTAAAAAGTTTTAAAAGTTTGACGGTTTGCAGTTTGAAATATTTTGAAGTTTAAAATAGTTTTAAAGATTAAAGTTTGAATGTTTTGAAGACAATACAGTCTATTAGAAAATCATTTACATTCATCGTGTTTGCTATATATATTTTTTAATTAAAGTGACAATCTACTTTACTAAACAATGTAAACTTGACTGACTGCTTCAATTCTACTTTAAGGATAAAAGAAGAAAATACAAGTGAAGAGTCATACTAATAATGAGCATCAAAAGCACAGGAGCAGCTCACTCTTTCGTCTTTCTCCAGATGTGCTGTAGTTTCTACTATTCCAGCAGGAGCTACCTACAGCTACTCGTGTCATGGGATGGAGGGACGTTATGTTACTGTGAATATTCCTGGAACTTCAAAGATTCTTACTCTCTGTGAAGTGGGAGTCTATGTGATTTTTCCAGGTAATTCAGAGCTACTTATCAACCTGGTCTAAACCCTTCCCAGGCAAATATTGTTGCAAATGTTGCAAATATGGCCGTGCGAGTGAAAAGATATTCCTTGAAAGGGACTTTGTCAAGACTCAACCATCTCATACAGATCTGATAGAAATGCATTCCTAGATTGAAGTAAACCTCCTGAAACTCTTTCAGATATAAAATATGCTGACTAAAACCATTTCTTGACACTGTGACATCTTCCAGATAATTTGGCAACAGGAAGAACCGTCACACAGTCATCAACCTATGGCACCTGGTTAGCTCAAAAGGCCATTGATTTAAATCCAGGTTTAACAAAGTCATATTCAGCATGTTCCTCAACCAGTGCTCAGACTAACCCATGGTGGAGGGTGGATCTGAGTTCTGTGTACCGAGTTAGTAGAGTTGTCATCACAAACAGAATAGACTGCTGTGCAGAACGATTAAATGGAACGGAGATTCGCATTGGAAACTCTTTGGAGAACAACGGCAACAACAATCCCATGTGAGAGCCTCTATTTTAGTGGCTTAATATCCATAAAAATCCCTGAAAACACATGTGAAGAAAGACTAGAAGTCTAAATAATGTTTATGTGTCTCTCTTTAGATGTGCTGTGATTTCTAGCATTCCAGCTGGTGTTTCCTCCACCTACATATGTAACAATATGGAGGGTCGATACGTGAATCTGATCATTCCTGGATATTCAAGGTTTCTTACTCTGTGTGAGGTGGCGGTCTATGGAGAAGGTATGATGAAATTTTGTGTTTTGGGAAACTAAACTATTGTGAAACTATTAAATTTTTCACAATAGTTGATATTTGGAAATTTATTGTTTTTGAAAATATAAAACTTAAACAGTTGCATGCAGGGCAGGGCAGGACTTAGGGGGGCGGGGGCCCCTGGGCTTGAGGTTATGTTTGGGCCCTATACCTACACTACAAATGCCCTTAAATAGAACATTCTGGAGTAACACAAAATACACAAACATATGCTTTGAGGTTCATAAATAGTACAATTAATATGCAACATGTCTAGGCTATAGTTAAAGTTTAAATGTAATATTAAATATTCATTATAATATAATAAACAGGATGTGTTCTCTCAGTTGAGAGATCAAAACCCTGAAATAATTTTGAGCAAAAAAAAATAAAGCCAGAGATGTTTATAGCGGCTTACTTGTATTATAAAAGTTATTGTCATCTGTGTCCTCTTATTTTAGGTTCTAATTCAATCAATAAATTCAATCGAATAAAAAGACATGCTGGCTATTAACAATCAAATGAAATCACTATCAACATAATTCATAGATGGATCGTGCATAAATGTTAAGTTTAAATATAACATTTTAATGTAGAAATATTAAATTATTGCAAAAATGAAATAAGCTACTTTTCAACCATTCTGGAGTAACACAAAATACACAAACATATGCTTTGAGGTTCATAAATAGTACAATTAATATGCAACATGTCTAGGCTATAGTTAAAGTTTAAATGTAATATTAAATATTCATTATAATATAATAAACAGGATGTGTTCTCTCAGTTGAGAGATCAAAACCCTGAAATAATTTTGAGCAAAAAAAAATAAAGCCAGAGATGTTTATAGCGGCTTACTTGTATTATAAAAGTTATTGTCATCTGTGTCCTCTTATTTTAGGTTCTAATTCAATCAATAAATTCAATCGAATAAAAAGACATGCTGGCTATTAACAATCAAATGAAATCACTATCAACATAATTCATAGATGGATCGTGCATAAATGTTAAGTTTAAATATAACATTTTAATGTAGAAATATTAAATTATTGCAAAAATGAAATAAGCTACTTTTCAACCACCAGTAGGTGGCAGCAAGTGACTGTCTTAATGAGTGAGTTGAATCAACCAATTCATTTAAAAAGCTGATTCATTTAACTTTGCAAACGACTGTACTTATAGCCTGATTGAATCATTTGCTGGTCCCTGTAATGCTGAGGAACAAAACACTGTTGTTCAGAAACGCAGCGGTTCTGCTGTGTGTTCTATTTTCTTTCTGACGGAGCAAAACTGAATTTTGTGTCTGAAAGTTACTCAGCAAGTTGTTGTTTATTGTACATTTGCGATTGTGCAGATATTAAAAAAAAAAAAACAGGACTCTTGTTTGTGTGATAGGCTAAGCCCTATAACATAGCTATGTTATAAAAACATCTAATTAAATTGCTTTTTTATTTAAAATAATTTTGATGACATTTCTTCCCCACTATGTGTAATGGCAGTAAGACGAGAGAGAGTGCTCAAAACATCAGATGACCGCATAATTTAGTGGAACATTAATATAGTAATATAGAATCATCCTCTGTAAAGAAATGAGGTGTGAACATTTGAGAATGTATCATTATTCTTAATAAAAGCTTAATGGAGCTGTTTAAAGGAACTTAGCCATGTGATAACAAACTAATCGGTGCAGACGCGATTCAATACGTGTGTCCTTCTTCTTCTATGTCAAATAATCATAAATACCAGTTTATGCTGTTTGATTGTGACCTCGAAGGTCGTAGTTGTAAGCTGTAGCACCCGCTGGCCCATTTAGATCTTGTGTGCGCAGTGGAAATGTGTCTAGTAATTTCTGAATTCTGACTGGCATATAACGAACAAATCAAACAAACGTAAACGGGCAAAGGCGGCATGGGGTGCAGCCCACTCAAGCCCAATGGTAAGTCCAGCCATGGTTGCATGCTCTCAGCTTTCAATAATTTACTACAAAAAATGCATTTGTGTTTGACACTAAACCATATCAATCCTTATTGTAAGTTAACCTGTTTTTAATGTCATCTGGGTCTTTTTTGTTTTGTTTTACATTGATTTTTGAGAAACATTAGACAACCTCTCATTGCATCTGTTTAATCTTAAGAGACAGATTCATTTGCACGAAATTGCTGTAGATATTGTAGTCACAATGCATTTCATGTTTTTAATATTTACATTTAGCATTTGTTTTTCTCTTCGGTCTGTTTATGTTCACTCTCATCTTCCCTTGTAGGTGTTTTATTTAAGAGAACCTTTGTGAAGATGAAACTGAAGTCCAGTTCGAGTCTGTCTGAACCTGCAGCGACAGCCCAGATCCTGTCACAGGTGAGAGAGGGAAACATACAGAAATCTGAAATAATGTCTCACTGAAACCCATTTTAAGAGATCTGCTAATTTCAGCTTCAATCTGCTCTGGCAAAACGAGGGATTTCTGTCATGATGCTGCAATGGTCTCAACCACCCAAACAGGAAGTGATGCGGAAGCAAGCTGCACCGGGTGAGTGTGTTCATACTGGAAAACGTCTCAGGTTACTTATGTAACCATGGTTCCCTGAGTAGGGAATGAGACACTGCGTCCTCTAGGGGTCGCTATGGGGACGCCTCTTCGTGACCCATGTCTGAAGCATACATTGAAAAAACACCAACTCGTTTGGCCGGCGACCGCCATGACGTCACTACCGGTGCGACTATAGTATAAATAGGCGCCGGGAGCACACATCATTCACTTCTTCATCTGAAGCTTGCGTCCGCAGCATGGCAAGAAACCTAGAGGATGCAGTGTCTCGTTCCCTACTCAGGGAACCATGGTTACATAAGTAACCTGAGACGTTCCCTTTCATGGGAACTTCGAACTGCGTCCTCTAGGGGTCGCTATGGGGAACGGTATACCCACGCCACCATGCTGAGGAGAGTGCATGCCAGAACCACGGCGAGCACTAAGTAGAACTCAAACTTCTCATGTGAGAGGAGAACTCCGAATTCAGAGGAATAGCGTTGCTCATTCCAGGTAACCCTTTGATAAAAAAGGGGAGCACTGCTCAATACTACCACGAGGACAGCCCATGGAGCGAGGAATCCAACTCCTCAGAGAGGATTAACGCTCGAAAGAAACACCATACTCACAATAACCCTCAATGGTGAGGGGAGCGATGCTTCCAGAGTGTGTCGATAGAGACACACTAGTTGAGTGGAGCCCAAAACCAACTCAGAGAAAGGGAACGAGATCAATAACGCTTAACACTGACCATACAGGATTTTAGAAAAGTGGGCAAAGCATAACGTGCACACTTACCACTTATGTGGATTTGTAGAAAAGTGCGCAAAGCTTACGTGTGCACTTACCATAGTATTTGGATTTAGAGTTTTCCAAGCATCTGTTTGCAGATACCTGGAAGTACTGGGCCAAACAGGAGAGGCAAGCTCCAATACAACCCTCAAGGTGAGGGGAGCACTGCCTGAGACAGCATTTACACAAGAAGGTTCTCGTAATGCCACCTATGCCTTCCGCTCGATGCCTCAGCAAGAGGGGGTATCCTGGTGATCGGGAAGCCCCTCAGGGTGACCCAGATACAGTAGACCAGTCAGGGTAGCATGAAAGCGTAACCCCAGCCCGGACGTCTTTCCTCGAAAAGAGAGACAAACGAGAGTGGAGCTTTTTCCCTTGGAAAAAACGCTCACAGTGCATGCTCTTCACCCAAACAAATAATATAGTTTTTATAATTAGTTTTTATGAATAGAGATCGCTCTTACCACAGAAATGCATGCTTCAAATAAAACAGTCAATGAAGATGAAGAAGTGAATGATGTGTGCTCCCGTGGCCTATTTATACTATAGTCGCACCAGTAGTGACGTCATGGCTGTCGCCGGCCAACGAGTTGGTGTTTTTTCAATGTATGCTTTAGACACGGGTTACGACGAGGCGTCCCCATAGCGACCCCTAGAGGACGCAGTTCGAAGTTCCCATGAAAGGGAACTGAAAAAGACTGTTGATTTTGGAGTAAAATTATTTGAATACATTTGTATATATTACAAATAAAATGGAAAATTATTTAATTTGCAGCTCAATGTGCTGTAAGAAATAGATGATGGGGAAATCTAAACTCTCTTCAGATCAGCTTTGGTGTTCTTTATTTACCTGCTGGAATATTCTCCGTTCCTCAGTGTTGATCACAATAAAGATGTACATGAAAACTGAAAGTACTGATTCCTGAAATTGAATTTTAAGTCATGCAAACTGATTTCTGTGAAGCTGCTTTGAAGCCATTTGTATTGTATAAAGTGTAAAATACTTGACAACAAAGAGGGAGTGTTACTTCGGTATAATTTACATACTTTTATGTATATATAGATATATATATATATTTTTTTTTTATAATTTTATACAATATTCATAACAATATAATTTTTTTTTTATTTGAATAAGTAAGATTTGTTTTTCCGTTTTTAGCTATTGCGTAGTCATTAGTGTTAAGAAAAAGGACAAAAATCCCCATACAAAAAGGCGCAGCCTAATATAACTTTATAAAGTTTCAGAGGACTGCTAAATGCAGTTCTTAATATTAATTCACGTTTGGAATGCTAATATTTTTCACCACTAGATGTCAGCAGCATCATCTTTATTGATGTTGTGAAAACCAAGCAAGTTTAACAACAGTTTATTAAATGGTACACAGTAAATATATGATATGACATGATCAGTAAGTCAACGTGTTTTTTTTCTATTACTTCAACTAGTGTTAATTTTGTCAGCTATTTTCATTTTAGTCTTAGTCTTAGTCCCGTATTCAAATGTCCTTGTTAGTTTTTATCATATTTAGTCAACCTGATCCTATTTAGTTTTAATCAAGTTTTAGTCGACTAAAAGTCTCAACATTTTAGTCTAGTTTTAGTCCAAGAAAACCTGAAGTATTTTAGTCTAGTTTTAGTCAATGAAAACTTGACATTGATTTTAGCAATAAGATAATTATTATTTAACCGTACATTATTAATTTTGGCAGCCAGTTTTCTTATGCTCAATGCCTTAGGGAGTGGAATACTGAGAATAATGACCCTCTAAAGCGAGGGGTGTACTGCCAAGCTCAACCTGAAGGACAGCTTATCAGGGAGGCTCAAGAGAGCCCAACAACCCAATATAACTGCAGCACGGAGCTCTATGTAGCGAAGCATTCAGCATAACAACCCTCTAGAGTGAGGTGAATACAGCAAACTCAATCTAAAGTGCCGCTTATCAGGGAGGCTCACAGAGAGCCTAACAACCTGCAGTACAGAGCTTTAGAGTATAGCTCGGAGTACTCATCATAATGACTCTCTAAAGTGAGAGGAGTGCTAACTACATTCCTATGTGCAGAACAAAGCACTAGGGAGCAAGCACTCAGCGTAATTACCCTCTAAAGTGAGGGAAGTGCAATCATGCCCCCCACCCTCAGGGAGCGGCGCACTCAGTATGAAGACCCTCAAAATGAGGGCAGCTTATCAGGGTGGCCCACAAAAGAGTCTTACAATCTAACACAGCCACAGAACAGAGCTCTGGGGAGAGAGAGCGCTTTAGGGAGTGGTGTACTTAGCATAGCGACCCTCTAAGTGAGGGGACCACCTCCAGACTCTCCTTTAAGAGCATCTGATCAGGGAGGCTCACATAGAGCCTAGCAACCTGTAGGGTTGAAAATGATCAAAGAGTTTTGCTTTCCTGTCCCAAACCTATCTTCAGTAACAAAAGGGCCATTTGGCATTACTGAAGGCACAGAAGTAGTGCTGAATATGATCAAGGCCTGCAGGCCAACATATGTATACAGTACATCGGAGGTCTGCTATTTGTCACACCTTTTGCACGTCGGGGAAAGCTGTAATTTGCTGATTGGTCAGTTTGAATGTCTCAAATTTAGTTTTTAATCAAATGGTCAAGGAAGGGATAAAGGAAGATTGTAACTGTTGCTCTGTTTTCTTTGAGGTCTCTTTTCCTGTCTGGTGATCTCTCTTTCTTTGTTGGGGCCCTTTTCTTGGGGCTCTGTTCCCTCTCCCTCTATCCGTCTCTCTCTAAGATAACATTTTACATACATGCTAGGTACAATTAACTGTATGTTTTACCATCGTTCATCTATTTTGTAACCTTTCGAGACCTGAACCGTGGGCGGCAGACGCACAATTCTCATCCCTCAAAAAGAGAATCAAGCATACAAAGCATTTCTCAGTGCAATCGTGTCACGCAGCATGCATTTAGTTCCCCCAAGAGCCAAACATGCTCTGTTCAAAAACTAGATTCCCTCAAGAATCAACGAAACTGCCGCGAATGCATCCCATTGAGACTGTTCAACTCCCTCAAGACCCAAATGTGCTCATGCAAATGCTGTCTACACTCTCGAGTAAAATGCAAAGCTTTACCTCTGCTCTCAGTAGTCTAGTGAATGCATAACAATGAGCACATCCCACTTACTCATGAGTCAGACATTGAAATGAGTTGCAAAAAGTGCAATGAATGCATTCATTTCCCTCAAGAACTGAACGCGTGTGCTTCTCACCCACACATACCACACGAGTAATGCAAATTCTCAGGTATCAAAAGAAAATTCCTCCAGCGTCCTTTTATAATATGGTCGCACTGGTAGTGAAGTCATAGGCTGTCGCTGGCCAATGTTATTGTCATATTTAGACATGTGCTTCAGACTTCAGACGTCACACTGGAGGCATTCCCTTAAAAAAGAAACTACATGCACAAAATATACCGTACTGTACAGACACATACATAAACAATGGATTTAATGTCTGAATAGCTTGTTTCTAAGCAAACGGATGCGAGAATAAGTTTTTGTTTTCCCTTGCAAAAAAAAAAAAATGACTAGTACCTTTTCAGTTAACAGATATTTCCTTCAACTCAAAATACAACGCAATGTGTGATTCGAATAAAACATCTGTGAAAATCAATACAGAAAATTCAGAACATTTTACTGACTTTTTTGGAATGCATGATTTGAAATTATTCTTACATTTTGTTCTTTATGTCAGAAGCATAATGCCCATTTGTCAAATGGATTCTGAATGCAACAACCACAAAAAAGTTATTTTTTAAATATAGATCTTAGTCATTTAACAGCTTCTCTATATGTATGTATAGTAAGGTACAGTAATTATAAAAAGACAGTAAAAAGGCATTCTGAATAAAAGGTTCAAGGTTCAATACAAAACAAGATAGTGTAAGTTATTTCTGGTAACAGTTACATGGATTTATAGATTGTCTTGGATATGAGTGTGTTTTGAGACTTCAACAAATACTCTTTTTAAAAAAAACCTTCAGATCTGTGTGGGTTTCGGAGAATTAAGATCGTGCCTTCAGAGAATCTTTGTATTTATTTGGATTATTTGCATTATGTTGTTATTTGTTTATTTCCTCTGGTCAGTTTGCAAAACAAATTATGCTGCCTTAGATTTATATATATTTGTCATATTACAGAGTTTTATAAATGAAGATGGTTATGTGCATTTATCCATCCATCTCCATTAAT